GGGTGGGTGTAAAAGAGATCTTCAATCAAAGAAAGAAAAAATGTAGTCGGTGCTCAATTCATTCTGCGACGATTATCTTGTCGTGCTATCATATGTAGTTCTCTATTTTAATTTTAAGTGTTATTAGAAGTAGAATGTTTTTACTGTACAACTTCTAAAGTGAGAAAAAAACAGTGACATGTTCCTCATAACTAGTTGAAATATATATCTGACAGCTCTCTCCCTCTGAAAGATAGTAATGGGAAGTATTGATTCTTGTTATGCCCCTCTTTCCAGGATTGGATTGTGCAGTTTGATCCCCCTGATGAACCCAAGGTATTAGACGCTTTACTTCAAATTTGGTTACGAAGGGAGAAATTCTCGTTCCTTATGATTTGATATGCAAACCTTTACAGGAGTATATACACAGAGTTGGTCGAACAGCACGTGGGGAAGGTGCTAAAGGAAATGCATTACTATTCTTGATTCCGGAAGAGTTGCAGTTTCTCAAGTACCTCAAGGTCTCTTCACAATCACACTTTTAAATTTACAGAATAACAAAACATCTCTTAGAATTCTAAACGTGTCATCAGAAGCATTGCTCCCTTGAAGTAGGAGTTGTTGTCCTTGAAATTTGAAAATATATTTACCAAGTATAAGCGAAATATACTTAATTTTATCTGGTAAAAAGATCGGGCTAAAAGTTGGAGCTCGGCAAACTGATATTTACCATTTTGATCGTTAATTATTCTAGAATTTTTTTGGCTTTTCTTTAAAACTGTTTCCTGATGATTTCGTGTTGTAATTGTTGAGTTTTTCAGTGTTTCATATATAATTTTGTTAAATTGTGAGTTTGCTTTGATAGTCTAATGTGCATATATGCATGTGCTTTTACGACAGGCGGCAAAAGTGCCTGTAAAAGAATATGAATTTGATCATAAGAAGGTGGCCAATGTGCAGTCTCTCCTGGTAAATCTGTGACAGCTGGTTGTATTTTTAAAAAAAAAAGTTATTTAGCCAACTGAGTATGTTTCTTTTAGCTTATGAGGACTTGGTGTTTAAAGAATGCAACTATTTATTTCAGGAAAAATTGGTCGCAAATAACTATTACTTGAATCAGTCAGCTAAAGAGGCATATAGGTCCTATATTCTAGCATATAATTCTCATTCCATGAAGGAAATATTCAACGTTCACCGACTTGATCTACAGGTACGTGATCTTGCTTCCTTTTCCAATGTTATGGTGGATACATTCTCATAGACATGTAATATTTAAGAAATAAGATAACAGATGACTCTAGTTATAAACTATAAGGACTTTCATTTCAGTGCAATACCTTTTTAAATAAGGTAATATGGTTTCATCAATTAGGATACAGAGGGATGAAAGAAAGACATGGTTATTCTGGTGTGTAGGACGCATTTATGTCCTCCCATAACGCGCATGTAAACAGTGAAGTTAGGCTAAAAGCCAAAAAGTTGTGAAGTTAGGCCCCTTATAAGCACAATGCTTGTACAACAAAGAGAGATGAAATTGTGGCGTAAGCAAAAATTTTGGACAGAATATGCAGAAAGAGGACAGAATATACAGAGAGTATCACATATGCTTTGCAGTAAAGAATAATAACATGGAGAATGTTTTACAAACTCTCTAGCTAGACTTTGATGGTAAAGGTACGGTGGGCCTGTCGCTCTAGGAATTGATTAATTAACTCTATTATGGTTTCATACATCAGGTTATATTTTCTTGATCAAACAATTGAAACTACTGCCGGTTAATACATATGAAAAGTGTGGTTTCTCTAAGCCTTAGTTGTGTGCTTGCACTACTATAGCTATTTTTTATCTGTGTTCATCCCTGAGAGGAGTATTTTGCCACACTTATTTGCTTCAGCCAATAATCTTTTTACTGTTGGGCCTGGCCGAAGTTAAATTTGCATTTTCTTTGAATTAGGGTATTCATCCATGTTACTTTATTACGCCTTTAAAATTTCAGACCTACAGTTCCCCTTTTAAATAGGAGTAGTATTAACCAATTCAGATCTTCTAGCTTAAGGGCGAAAGGAATCATTTAGAAAGTGGTACTGTCTTCCTGTACCTGGTAAGAATTTCAGTAGTGCTTTGTATGGCACTGTCTCTGATTTGACTTTATATGGCACTGTTTAGTGTTTAAAGTTGCCTCTTACTCTGTTGCTGAACTGGTGGGATGTGACACATAGGGCATGCCATATTTGCTATCTTAGGATAGGATATTATATTCTACGCACTTATTCCAAATGCTGCTATGATCCAGAAAGTACTAACGGATAAAATGGTGATTGGCAGGCTGTAGCTTCTTCGTTCTGTTTCTCTAATCCTCCAAAAGTACACCTCAACATAGATAGCAATGCGTCCAAGTTCAGGAACAAAAAGCGCAAAGTTGAAGGAAGCCGAAATGGGTTCAGTGATAGCAATCCTTACGGAAAGAAAGGAAGTGACGATACAAGGCAGTTTGTAAGATATTAAGAGATAGATCATATGCAGCAGCAAAGGTTTCTGCACCAGATGCATGTTAACATGTATAATTTTTCTCTATTGTACTTTCTATGTGGAAGAGTTCATAGTTGAGGCATTTTGCTTTCTTATGGCTATGGCACTTCGAATTTTCTGGATTAATTCCACATTTTTGTCCTGGCATTGCCAAAGTATTTTCTTGTTTATTTATTTAGTTATGGGACGAACGATTTTCTTATGATAAAAGATTGATTATGGCGAGGTGGGTTAAATTGTTTTTTTTTCCCTGTCATTTTGCTTAATCAGCTTATTACTGGAAAAATATGGTACATGTTGCTTTGTTTTATAAAATATGGCTTCAAAACTTATTAGAATGCTTTTCTATTTCTCAATTTTGACCGAATACTATTAGAAAATGTTGCAAAAACTGGAAAATAGGAAAATCTCTTTTGATTTTTCTTTATTTATAAAACAAGTGTTACGTTAATGTTTCACGTCAATAACGATTAGTGTAGAAAGATTTAACTTGTGCGAAAAGATGGTAGGATTAGAAGTTTTTGCTTAAATTTATTTTAAAAACAGTTATCATACACGTCCTTTTAAATTGGAACGCTCAAGGCTATTTTATTAGAATTAATCCTCCGGTGAATTTATTCCTTTCATTCATGATATAGATAAATTAATTTTATAATTTCAAAAGGAGAGTTTTTTTTATGCTGTAAAATCTTTTTACCTTTCGTTGTTGCTACGTGGTGCTTAATAGGGATATCAATGGTTCGGTTCGGCCGGTTATTTTATAAAATTTATACCATACCAATTTTTCAGTTATTCTATTATGTATAACCAAAATTAGACTTCCCGAAACTGTCCCAATCATGTCGGTTTCTTTTCGGCATCGGTACGGTTCGGTTAATTTTCGGTATTTTTTTAAATATCATATAAAATTCAACAGTAGAAATAGGATGCAATAACATACGTTCTTTTATAGGACTTAACAAAACTCTCTAGACATTTTTACTGTTTAAAGGGTGATGAATTAAAAAAAAAGTTGGCTAGAGTATAGATCCATCAACTATTCTACAACAACGTAAAAGAAACCAAATAAAGGCAAAAAAAATATAAATCACACGAGTTGAAAGATATTAACCAAGCTGGGACTCAAGAATAAAGTCTATAGAAGATGAAATATTTAAAAAATAAATCTAAATTATATGAAAGGAAACATATTCAATACATGTAGCTTGCTACTCATAATCGCTAGAATACTTTGTGTCTTGCTAATAAAGATACTTGAAATAACTTAGTTTAAGTAGAAATAGCATAATAGGTTTTAGGAATTACTAGTATTTTGAGTTTAATTACTTGTTGGCTTGTAATAGTTTTCATAATTCCAAGGCCCAAAGAAAAATTTAATGTATTATTATTTTTAAACTTACTAGATAAATATATATTCCACATGTAAAATTTATTCGGTACGGTTCGATATTTTTTCGGTTTATTTTTATAAAATAAAAAACCTACCCTAATTTTAGGTGCAGTTATAAATTTATATAAAAAACCTACGGTTCTTAAAAATAAACCTAAAAATCGGTTCGGTACGATACTGATGATAGGCTATAATTACGTATTTTAGTCGATTATTACACTCAAATTTACTGCACTTTGATTGAGTTTGAGCTTTAATCGCTAGTGTCTTGCACTAACTGTGTGTTTTATGCCTTGTAGGAGTGATTCCGAGCTATATAGATGTTATGGAATGAATTCAAGTGGCTTGGAGCTTTGAAGTCTGAGTAAAAGCTCAAGGAATTAAGCCGGAATTGTGTTTGGGGGTCAACGGATGATAGTTAGAGCAAACGAAGAATCGAGTAGGCATATTGCGCACTGTCTAGTAAAATGGATATACCTTTTTTCTCAGAACCCCATTTGGTCTCCACAATATATGGTTGGAAAGCTAACTCAAAGGGCTACAACTTTCATGTTTTACATTTTTCCAAATTCCAAACAGAACGGGGCGAAACGCGCAAGATTTGAGCCAAAACGAACGAAACCGGGAAAAAAGGGCCAGTTGGGCGCCACAGGCGGCGCCTGGCGCCACCTGTGGCGCCAAAAACAGTATGCACAAATATTTGGGAGCTATGGAGGGCGCCTGGCGCCGGGCTGGGCGCTGGTGACGTGAAATGTGTCATATTTCGCCCGGAACAAGGTTATTTTGGTCCTAGACCTAACCAACACGTATAAAAGCAAGACTAAACCTATTTTTGAAGGGGAGGACGCCACTTTAGAGAGATCTAACATACTTTGAAGGAGAATTCACGTGGAGGAACACACACCACGCTTGGAGGAGGCATCTAACTAGTTTTTCTTCTTTTCTCTTCCTTTAATTTCATAGTTTATTAGTTCTAGAGTTTTGGGTGCTACATGAACGTTGTAGTTTGAAGCTTGAATTGTTCTTATTATTTTATCATATTGGTTTATTTATTCAATCTTGTGCTTAATTATTTGATTGCTTGATCACCAATTGAATACTATCTACGAATCTAGGATTGAACTCGGGAGAGGGAATTCTAGATTGCATATAAGATTGAATAGAGCAAGATCTTAACTCTTAGGGGGAGCGGATTTGCGGTCAGGATAGGAATATACCTAATCGCCTTGCTTGGTTATTATACGGGAATTATAAATGTGTTATTGTTAATCCTAATTCCATAGGAATATAGGCATTAGGTTAGCTTGAATAGGCGAGTTGTACTTCGGGAGAAGGCTACGAGCAATATTAACCCTGTCAATCAATAAACTAGATAAATTAATTAGACAATTTAGGTGGAAAACTCAACGGGATAGTTAGCTAACCCATAGCTCTAGAATATTCACTCATATTGAATTCGTCTCTATTATTCGCCAACTTATTTTCTTTGATCTCTTAATTTGTTACTCTAGATTAGCTTTAGTTAAATATTCGTACTTTTGAATTCTCTTGAATAGATTAATTGTTTGGGTTTAATTTAGGTTATAGTTAATCACAAGTCCCTGTGGGTACGATATCTGGACTTACAATCCTATATTACTTGTCGACCGCGTATACTTGCGTGTGCGTTTGGGAGCAACAAGTTTTTGGCGCCGTTTAGACGGTTTTTGAATATCCATTGACACCCCTGGTGCTTAGCATTGAAAAAAAAAAAAAGAAAAAAAACAATTCGAGTTTGAATATATAGCTGATAACCCCGCTAAATTACTGATGCCTTCTCTTTAATGGTAAAGACAAAGCAGGGATAAAAACTCAGAAAACACGTGGTTAATTCAGTAAATGCTTAAGAATAAGTTGTGTTTTATGTGGTCCTGCTCCAAAATGAATTTTTAAAACTCAAGTCCTTATCCACAAAACAGTGTGTGCATGTTGATTTTGTCAGTGTTATTTCTAGAAAAAGAAAAGAAAAGAAAACTTCTAGTAGTAGACTGCAATGCCCTTCCAAAAGAATAATAAAGACCAATAATAAATCTGCCCCATGTGAAATACAATACCGGAGTCTACCATTGGAAACAAGATAAAAATATATATATATATATATATATATAAGTCGACCGACATAAAAGATAAATACAATAAAATAATACCCATTTAATTTTAATTAATAAATAGAAACTTCCTTAGCCTCTAATTAAAACCTCTCCTTCATCCCAAAGCAAAATCCAAATAGAAAAACTAAATGGAGTTCTCATTTAAAAAATAGTATAGCAAAATAGTACTAAATTATTACTAGTAACAAACATTGGCCAAACAGTTGTCGTACACGTCCACGTACCGGCACACGTTACTTGAAACCATTACTGACCAAATCCTTTACGAAACCTTTTTAGTACAAAGGTCAAAATAGGAAATTCAAGACCAAAGGGAGTGTATCCAACAAACCCAAACCCATCCAACTCACGCCTTCCCACGCAAGTAATTGAAAAGGAAAAAAACGTCGGCTCATAAAAACAGAGTGCTACCCCAAAATCGTATAGAAAAGGAAACCAACCTCACCGCCCACTTAAAACCCAAATAGTAAACTTGTGGCGGTGTTTACCGTTGGCTTTCTTTCTTATTAATTCTCCCTCTCTTCATTTCTTCATTCTTTTCTCCCAAGTTAGTAATCCTACTTCTTCTTTGATTTGGATTTGGCTATACAAAAACTATATAATTCTCCTGTTTTTTTTCTTTTTGCTACAATTCCCCTACCCATTAACAGTTTTTAACTTCAAGTTTTCTCGACAGGTTTTGAGTTCAAAGGATTCGAGAATAATGTGCTTTAAGTCTGTCTTTTTCGTCTTGACCCTTTAATTTTCTAAGCAAGTATTGATTCTTTCTGATTTTTTATATTGTGAATATTCTCTTCCGTTACTTTACAATTCTGCATTGGTTCTTTCCTTAGCTCGCTTCAGTTACGTTCATTCAGAATTTGATTCCAATGCTTAAATATTGATTCAAATTCTCTACGAAATTGATTGAACAGTTCCTAGATTTACCAAACTGTCCTCCCTCGAATAGTTTTTCTTTTCTAGTTCGAATAATTCTACAATGGAGAACTTTGTGAAGCCTCAGTTCTTCTCTCTTCTTCGTGGGGAAGCAACAGTTCAAGATTACCCTAATAATCACAAGATTTTGGCTCCTCTCAATATGTACCAACCAAAATTTGAACAACAATCCGCTGAATCTACAAGCTCAAGCAGTGATGACGTGCAAGATCCAGAAGTTTCTGATGCAGAGAGTTCGGTTATTGGCTCAAAATATTCAGAAAAAAACACTGGTTTGATGAGAATTAATGAGGGCGATAAAGTATACGGAATTATCAGAGAGAAGTTTATGTCAGGATTGGGTGCTTTTGGAGCATCAACGCAAATTACGGCAATTCATAAGGAAACTTGCTCTAGTTTCACAAAACAAGCAAAGCTTCAATCCTTCCTTATTTTCTCAAAAGCTGTGGAGAAAAAATGCGGAGGGAATAACGCTAATGTGAAATACGCTTGGTTTGGAGCTTCAAAAGATGAAATTAACAATATATTTTCACATGGTTTTGTTCATTCTTCGAACAATGGAGCTTATGGTCACGCTATATGCCTTTCTCCAGACAATTATCCTCTTGATTGGTACTTGAAACTCATCTTCTATTGCACTTTCTTGTTTTGAGGTATTTAATTCTTTTCCTTTTAGCTGATTTTTGATTTTTTTTTTTGGCAGTCTGCAAAATGCTGTTGCTGATAAAAATGGGATAAGGCATTTGCTGCTTTGTCGTGT